CTGGAGATCCCTAAATTAATTACATCTGCATCACAGGTTCCAGGGATTAGGAAGTGGATCTTTCAGGGGCGAGTCACCAATTAACCCATTACCCTTATAAACCAAGTGGAGTTACTAGTCCAACTCTATAGATGAAGCAGTTGTTTTAGAAGGGTTTAAAGGATTTGCCTGAGGTCATATGGTTAATATGTTGTGGATATAAGATTCACATTTACTTTTAGAAAAACAATTTCAATACTTTTCTGAAAGCAATAACAGTTTCAAAAAGTTAATTATTTGAGGGCCAGTACCAAAGTTGGTGTTTAAGGGAGCCAGCTTCCGCATGGCTAAACACATGGTTTAACTCTCAGACCAGCTTGAAAAACATACCAGGCACGTGTGTATGGATGCCCAATATCTTAACAGGATGGAGAATGGAGGAGAAAGGATTGTAGTCACAACAATCCTCACTTTCTCCTTCTTCCCCTGCCCTCCCCATCTTTGTCTGGTGAGCACACACACACACTTCTTTTTTTTCAAACACTTTTTTTAAAAAAAAAGAAACTCATTATTTGGATGTCAAATATTGCTTCTTTAATTCATTAATTAATTGCCTGTCCTATAGCACTAGAGTATAGGCTACACCAGAATTTCTACCTATAAGAATCTATTGTATGGGTAAATAAACCACATTTAACAAAGTTACTTGCTAATAAACTCTTTGCAATAAAAAGTTGTAGGACATGACCTTAATGATCACCAAGAGTAAATAGTTAAATTCATTATGGTGCAGCTATACAATGTAATACCATGTGGCCCTTGAAAATGAGGTATGTCTATATAATGAATAATAATGCATTGTATAGTTAAAATTTACTGAGAGTAAATCTTACATGAAAAAAAGGTTAAGTGGCCGGCAGGTGGCATGGACTCCCACATGGCTGACCATGGTTCAAGTCAAGGACCTGAAGTCTTACTTTCTTGGAGGGTGTGGCCTAATCTGAACAAGCATGGTGACCTTTAGACATATGTAGAAATGCAGTTTGGCTTGTGAGCTTCATTTGTATAGCAAAGAAAGCGTTAACATACAAATATGTTAAGTGCCAATACTGCAGAACAGTATCTGTTTAAGGAAGCCACACGTGTTATTCAGATTTTGCCCCAAAGGATCAGAAGAAACCATAGGGCACCAGTTGTTTTTGCATTATCAGCCAATTAACATCTGAAAACAACTGACTTTGCACTCCATTTCCTCTTCCTCCTTTTTCTACCCTATAAAATAAACCTGTGAGTTTGGTTCAAGATTGTGACTTTCTCCATCAGAGAAGTTGGGCCCACCTCATTCTCACTTTTCTATACTTGTATGTCTTTCTGTTTTATTTTTATGTTTATTTCTAATCCACATTCCTCCCACTCAGTAAAACACATTCTGCTGAGTGGGTCCTGGCAATTGGTGCCCAATGTGGGGACTGAGTACAAGGAAAGAGTCTGTGAGTAGATGATACTCCTTGAGGCCAGCTGGAGATAACTGAGTAAGGTAAGTAACCTATAGAGTAAAATAAAGAATAAATAGACTAGAAGAAAGAGATAACAGAGTAAACAAAGGAGATAATAGAGTAGAAGAAAGCAATATCAGAGTAGAAAAAGAAGATAATAGAGTAAAATAAGGAGATAATAGAGCAAGAGAAGGAGTGGATTTGATTGGTGTTGGGTATAAAATATGGGAACACAGTTGTCTAAAGAGAGAGATATGTATGTTCAAATGTTATTTTATATGTTAAAAGCCAGGAGTGATAAAATTAATGTCAAATGCTTACATCAGTTCCTGAATTTTGTGCAAGAAACATGCCCTTGGTTCCCAGAATAAGGAATGGTTTATGAGGAGACCTGGGATGAGGTTGGAGAACAGATCAGGAAATTAAATACAACAGAGGGTCCTAACAGGGGTCCCCTTTTTGCCTTCTCCCTGTGGAATTTAATTAAGGAGTGCTTGAGACAAAACCCTCCAGAAGAACCCAGAGCTTGCTTAGTAACTTGACTAAAAAACACCTTGGAGGGGTATACTCCCTCCTACCGAAAAAATCAGAGTCTGTAACTAAAGACAAGGATAGAGAAGTGGGACTTTATCATGAAAATGACAGACTTAAGATTGCAGATTCTGAAGCAACTGAGGGGCAAGAGGAGAATGGAGACATTGCCCTTTGGAATAGCATTCCCTGGCTGTGACTGATGCTTCCCAGCCAAACTCTACTTGCATATTAAATGGTACTAGGACAGAAAGAACAACTCCCACTTTAACACCCCTCCAGAGAGATTTGCATTGCTCAGCATACAGAGGAGAAGACACATTGGGATTTAAATTATGCCCAGTTATAGAGACTCCCAATCCTGATAATCCAAGACAAAATCAGCATGAACTGATATCCTTTAAAACTCTAAGAGAATTAAAAATGGCTTATACACAATATGGTCCTGGGGCACCATATACAAATGAGGTATTAGAGATAGCTAATCAATCTGTGTTTACCCCTAATTATTTACCTCTTTATACAGGTATGAATACCCTCTGAACTCCTTCCAAGACATGTTAATGCTTTCATTGCTATGCAAATGAAGCTCACAAACTGTGTTTCTGCATATGTCTAAAGGTTACTATGTTCAGATTAGGTTACTCCACACACAAACTCACTTTTCCTCTCTCTCTCTCTGTCTCTCTCTGGAAATATTAAAGTAATAATAATAAATAAAGTTTAAAAAGTAAAAAGATTAATATGTGAGGTGATTGGGGCCAGCAGGTGGTGTGGTAGTTAAGGGCACTGGATTCCCACATGGGTGACTGCAGTTTGAGTCTCAGACTTGGCAGCTTGCTTTCTTGCTTTCCCTCTCTCTCTCTCTCTCTGTCTTTGTTTGGTCAAATTAAAAAATAATAATAATAACAAATTGAATTAAATAAATAAATAATTCTTTTTGCAAAACGATGTGAGGTGATGAAGAGGTCAGTTAGCTTGACCAGGCGAATCATCTCTCAATGTATACACATAATAAAACATTACATTGCACATCTTAAATATATATAGTTTATTTGCCAAACATACCTCAATAAAGGTAGAAAAATTAAAATAAAACATATATATTAGGATTAGCAAGGAAGACATTAGTTCAGGGTGCAGAAGAATGTGTATAAAATGCTGTAACTTTATAAAAACAAATGGGACATATCTCTATATCTATTTATATGCTATGCATGTATAGAGTATTTTGGATGAATAAGCCAGAAATTCATATTTGAAAATAACTGTGAGATTGAGTACAGGGATAGAAGGAAGATTTTTTCATTATAACTCTGCTGTATTGTTTTTACTTATCTGCCATGTGTTTGTATTACCTGAAGTGAGAGAGAGAGAGAACCTATGAACTATTTTTCACTTAATTTTCCAATCCGCCATAGTGCATATTTACTAGACAACCGCTCTCAAAGCACATAAAAAGCTGGCCCAGTAATGTAGTGGTTAAGGGAGCAGGATCTCTTATGGCCAACTTCAGTTGGAATCCTGGTTGTGGCAGCTTGGAAAACACATAAGGTACATATGTGTGTTCAAAATCCTGACAGGATGGAGGAAACCAGCAGTTAGCGTAATGGCTATGTCACTGGACTCCCACGTAGTTGACCGCGGTTCGTGTCCCGGACCCGGTGGCTTAAAACTCACGCTGGGCGCATGTGCGTGTGTGCCCAAGATCCCGAGAGGAGAATGGAGGAGAAGGGATTGCGGCGTGACCATCCCCCCGAGGGGGGTGATTTCTCGCTTTCTGTCTCTATGTCTCTCTCTGTCTGTCTGGCGAGCGCACGCGCCCTACAGTGAAAATCTCTCCAAAAAAAAAAAATCCTGACAGGATGGAGAAATGGAGGAAAAGGATTGTGATATAACCACAACTCTGGGGTGGACAGGATTCTCTCTCTCTCACACCCTTTGGCAATTAAAACACACACACACTGAGTATGTTCATGGTGAGTATGTGCATGTGTGTGTGCGTGTGTGTCTGTGTGCCTAATGTTCTATCATCCTAGACTCTCGTATTTTCTACCTGTAGAAATCTTGCCCCTCAAAAGCTCTTCTGTGCAACCTCCCTGATCTCCAGTGTTGGAATCAACGACTCTGTCCTTGATCCTCAGAAATCCCCTGTCCTTCTAATTTGAGTTATAGTTACATTTACAAGGTGGTCACATTCATTAATTAGCTCCAAAGGAAAAGTATGTATCTTGTTGGTCTTCATGTTTACCAAAGTACCTAGAATAGAGCTTTGTTGAAAATATTGAGCAGAAGAGTCATCTGGAGGAAACATAAATTTTCTATGATGATCAATTGTAAGGATGCTAGGGAAAAGTATTAGTCCAAATATAGGAATCCTACTTAGGGTAAATAAGATCCTCAAAGCTGAAAACTAAGCCAGTGCTGTATATCCAACAGGATGACAAGCTATATATGTGAAATGAAATGTATGTGCATGCCCAATTGGGGGATGCTTTTCTTCTCTCTCCTTCCCTCTCTCCCTTTGTTTGTGGTAAACACATACGCCTTTTGGAAATTAAAAAAATCTACATCAGTGTAACTGATTCTATGTGTAATAGCCACATTCTTTTTAAAGCAAAATTTCCCAAATCATATTATAAAATTAATATATATATATATCTTTTTCTATTTTCATTTGCTGCTAGTTAAATCCATTCCCTCTTATTCTTGGTGATAGGATGTATAGAAGGTCATATTACTCCATATATTTAATTTTCATATATCATAAAGCATTTATGGTAATTTCCTATATAATACCTTCTATAAACAATCAATCCATTAAAAAATATGCTTCTAGCATACTGCTATTCTTTTTTAGTTTTTATAAATAGGCATACTGATGTCAGTGCTGACCCATTTTTGTTGGCCTTAGAACAACATACAATAAAATGAAATAAAGATAAGAAAATAAAAATTAAAACTAGCAATGACTAAAAGTTTGCTTGAACTCACAGTTAACGCTCTTTCGTATTCTCCAGCTGCCAAGTGCGCTAAGCCCAAGTAATAAGAAGCTTCTCCCTCCATCTTTTTGTCATTTCCTAATGAGAAGATATAGAAAAATTACCATGGCCATATAGAAACTGATTTATCACAACAAAAGAATCTAAACTTTCTAAAGCAGCAGAAATTTATAAAAATACAATTTAGATTTATCAATGACCTCCAATACTTAGCTGTGCATTGAAAAAAGGCTGATTTAAATATGATTTACCTGAACTTATCTTTCTCAATTTCAAACCTTATGGATGTTAGAGTAAGATGCATTAACAATATGAGGGTTTCCATATATATATCTGTATTTTAATTTTGACATTTATATATAATTTTTATAGTCGTCTACCATTTAAAACCCTATCATCATCACTATAGCTGCTACTACATACATAAAACAACTAGTAAAGGGTAATGAACTTAAATGGTGCACAAACACTTATACTTACATGGGCTGATGTTCAGCTAAGTTTTTGACAGGGCAGGTAATTAGAAAATTAAATATCTTCCCCCTCCCCAAGGGCATGTGCACTAGCCAGAAAAAGACAGAGAGACAGATGGGGAAATGGAGTCAGGAGAAAGCACCATTCAATGGGGTGTGGCCATGTCCCAAACCTCTATTTCTTTATCACATTGGGATCTTTGGAATACACACACATGCAGGTATGTTTCTGAAGCTGCTGGGACCAGGATTTGAACTGTGGCCAGTCATGTGGAATCTGGCTCTCTTAACCACCAGGTCACAGGGCCAGTTCAAAATTTATTGTTTTGATGATGTTTAATTTAAAAATTGTTGATGAAAGCTTGGGTGAGAATAACTGACAGAGTTTAGCGTCTCGGTATAAAATTTCATGCATATTTTGAAATCCAAACACACTCTCCCTTGCTAATCACTGGTAATGCTTTCACGTCTTTCTGCCAGTAATATAGAATTTCTAATTTCTGTGATATTTTGCTCACTTTTATACCAGAAATTACCCAATTCCTCTTCTCAAAAGCAAAATGTATAACACGTGATTCAACAAGAGGTAATCATATGTGTATCAATGATAAATGCATAGAATAGTTACATTTAATATGCTAAATAATTATGTAAAAATTTAATACATTTGAAGTACAACTAAAGGCTCTTATTTAAAAAATAATACAATCTTTTTTCTACTTTTAGAAGTCTTTAGCTTTCCAAATCACTTAACTTCCAGGTAATACAAATGCTGACAGATCCACCTTTGGTTTTAGTCTTTGAAGAGTACATATCCTCAGATTTCTGAACCCTGAATTCCTGCCACAAAGAGTTTCATGAAGAGCTGACAGATACCCCATAATTATGGATTATAAGACATCGTGTTACAATAGCAATATTCTCCAAGTTGATCAACATATTCAATGCAATCCCTATCAAAATTCAACATGACAAGCTGAGCCTAAAATTCATGTGAAATGCAAAATACAAGTGATAAGAATAGCTAAAGAATCTTTAAAAATAGTGTCAGGAGGCCAGTAGGTTACATAGTGGTTAAGGTGCTGGACTCCCACATAGTTGAGTCCCAGACCTAGCAGCTTGAAACACACTGGGCTCCTGTGTGTATGTACTCAAAATCCCAAGAAGAGAATAGAGGAGAAGAAATTGTGGCATAGCTATCCCCCCGGTCAGTGATTTCTCACTTTCTCCCTCTCTGTGTCTCTGGTGAGCACACACACCCTATAGCAAAGATCTCTCTTAAAAAATCTCAGTGTCAGAAGACATATTTCTTAACTTCAGATCTTACTACAAAACTACAGTAATCAAGAATATGTATTATTGCAAAAAGTATAGTCATAGAAATCAATAGAATATAATTGAGAATCTAGAAAACAGCCTTCACATTTGTGGTCAGTTGATTCTGACAAGTAGATCAAGACAGTTTATTGGGGGAAGAATATTTTTTTTCAATAAATGGTACTAGGACAACTGGAATATATACACTCAAAACACGTGTGCACAGGACCAGCAGTTAGAGTAATGGCTATGACTGCTGTTCGCGTCCTGGACCCGGTGGCTTAAAACTCACACCAGGCACATGTGCGTGCGTGCGTGCCCAAGATCCTGAGAGGAGAATGGAGGAGAAGGGATTGCGGTGTGGCCATCCCCCCTGGGGGGGTGATTTCTCGCTTGCTATCTCTCTGTCCCTCTCTGTCTGGTGAGCGCACATGCCCTGTGGCAACACCCCCCGCCCCCCAAAAAAACGTGTGTGCACACACACACACACACACACACACTCATTACACACTTGAAAATAGATTATAGACCTAAATGTAGTTAAAAGTATAAAATTCTTAGGGTAAAGTATAAGAGCAAGTCATTGTGACATTGGATCAGTCAAAGCCTTCTTAGTTATGATAACAAAAGCACAGACAATAAAATAAAAAATAAATTGTGCTTCAAAATAAAAACTTGTGCTTCAATGATCATCAGCAGAAAGTATATATCAAAAACTCCCACAGAATAGGAGAAAAATGTATATAGATATGTATATAGTTATGTTTATACACGCACACACACTATAATTTTTTTTTAGATTTTTTCTTTTTTTTTAAAGAGGTTTTTGCTATAGGGCACGTGCTCTCGCCAGACAGACAGAGACAGAGAGACAGAAAGCGAGAAATCACCCCCCAGGGGGATGGCCACGCCGCAATCCCTTCTCCTCCATTCTCCTCTCGGGACCTTGGGCACGCACACACACATGTGCCCAGCGTGAGTTTTAAGCCACCGGGTCTGGGACACGAACCGTGGTCGACTACGTGGGAGCCCAGCGACAGCCATTACGTTACCTGCTGGTCCCTAGATTTTTTTTTTTTCTATAAGGCACGTGTGCTCACCAAAGGCAGACAGAGAGAGAGGGAAAGTGAGAAATCGCCCCTCTGGGGGATGGCCATGCCACAATCCCTTCTCCATTCTTCTCTTGGGATTTTGGGCATGCACACACATATGCCTTGCCTGTTTTTCAGGTCACTGGGTCCAGAACTCAAACTGCAGAGTTGACCATGTGGGATTCAGTGCCTTAACCACCATGCCACTTGCTAGCTCCAGGAGAAAATATTTTCCAATCATGTATCAGTGAAAGACTTGTCCCTGTGTTTTTAAAAAAATTCTTACAACTCCATAATAAGAAGACGAATAACCCAATTAAACATGGGTAAAGAATCCGAATAGATATTTCTGCAAAGCAGATGTACAAATGGCTGCTAAGCTCATTAAAAATGCTTATCATTAGCAGACAGGGAAAGGTGAAACAAATCCACAGCAAGCTTCCACTTTACACCTACCAGGACGATTACAATAAAAACGATGGAAGTAACAAGTGCAAGCAAGGAAGCAGTTAAATTCAAATGCTCATACATTGCTGGTGAAAATACCAAATGCCGCAGCCACTTTGGGACACAGTTGGATAATCGAGCAATTCTACTCCTGTGCATACATCCAGAAACATGGAACACTTGTACGTAATTGCTCACTGCAGCATTATTCCTAACAGACGAAGCTGAAAACAACTACAATGTCCATCAGCTGATGGATGACTTAATAAAGAAAATGTGGTATAACTATGCAATGAAATACTATTTGGCTACAAAAGGAAGGAAGTTGTGATATATGCTACAACACAGACAGACCCTCATGCTAAGTGAAAGGTGTTCGGCTAGGGCCCATGCAAGAAGAAATGCAAGGCTGGTGCTACACTTGTGCATTCCGCCAAGGTGCCCTAGCAAAGGAGTTGGTCTTCTGCGCATGTCTGTACCCCTTAACTACTATGTAAACCAATGCGGGAGGCAAGCCCTAGCCAGGGCAGTCATCAGCCTGAGGCTTCAAAGATCAATGTCAGAAACAACGGGTAAGTATGTTTAGTCCCAGAGTACCTCAGCTGCTCTAAGAGCTCCGTAAAATACCGTGAGATCCTTTAACCTATGTACTTTCTTACATGGAAAATGTGAGGACAAATGTTTACTGGTTTTAAAAGATATTTTAAGTTTTGGGACCAGTAGTTAGCGTAATGGCTATGTCGCTGGACTCCCATGTAGTCGATCGTGGTTCGCGTCCCAGACCTGGCGGCTTAAAACTCACGCCAGGTGCGTGTGCGTGCATGCCCAAGATCCCGAGAGGAGAATGGAGGAGAAGGGAATGCGGCATGGCCATCCCCTCTGGGGGGTGATTTCTCGCTTTCTGTCTCTCTGTCTCTCTCTGTCTGTCTGGCGAGCGCATGCGCCCTATAGCAAAAACCTCTCCAAAAAAAAAAAAAAAAGATATTATAAGTTTTATAGCCTAAGAAGTTTTTGTTGTGTTCCCCTTACCTGTCCTTTGGGAAGAGAGAGATGCTTTCTGAAAAGAGAATGCTTTGCAGGCTCTGGCTGTTGGAAGAGACCCAGGGAAACTTCCTTTCCACCTAAACTACCTTCCAACTTAGCAAATGTGAACCTAAAGCAAACTACCTTTTTCTAATTTATACATTCTTTTACATTGAAATTCCATGTAAATTTCCATAAGACTAAAGTTTGGTGCTGAAATTGATCTAAGAGCTACATCAGTGTTTAACCATTTGGGGAAGGTACTAGAGCACCATGTATTCAAAAGCAGTTTATTTATGAAATACACCCTTTCTTTAGTTTTATTTTATCATTATTCTTATTTTTAAAAAATTGGTTACAGGGCATATGTACTCACCAGAGAGAGAAAGAAAGGGAAAGTGAGAAAGCAACCCAGGTCTGGGACTTGAACTTGCAGTCAGTCATATGGAATCTAGCACCTTAACCACCATACCACCTGCTGGCCCTGGTATACATCTTTTAATAGGGAGTGATTTCTATGAGTCTTTAATATTATTTAAGGAAGTAAGATGTCTACTTTTCTCTTTAGCAAATTAAAGTCACACCCAGAAATATCAATCTTGCTTACTTCAAAGAAGCCATTTCAACTTACTAAATCTATCAGTTAAATATGTCTATGAGCGACTAAACTTTAGTTTAAGAACGTAACTTCTATCTTTTCTTCATGAAAAAGCTCCTCTATTAATAAACTGCTATCTGGTAATAAAATATCTTTTCATTTCACAAATTAAAAGTTTATAAAATATGCTCTAGATTTTTTCTTTATATGTTATATATATAGAAGATAGAATATCCAATCAGCTCTCAGAAAAGTTTTTATGAAGAAAATGCTCTTACAAAAGCTGTAAATGCACACGCCTCACCTGGGATCTTGCTAACCTGCAGATTCAGATAGATGGGTCTGCAGTGGGTCCTAAAACACTGCTTTTCGTTTGATCTTTTTCTTTTTTTAGAGAGAGATTTTTGCTATCGGGTGTGTGTGCTTGCTAGAGAGACAGACAAAAGTGAGAAATCACCCACTGGGGGGAAGGCCATGCTTCCATCCCTCCTCCTCCATTCTCCTCTTGGGATTTTGGGCACATACACACACACACACCCAGCATGTGTTTCAAGCTGCAGGGTCCGGGACTCAAACCAGGGATAACCACATGGGAGTTCAGCACCTTAACAACTATGCCACCTGCTGGCCCCAAAACACTGCTTTTCAAACATGTTTCCTGGATACTGATGCTGCTGGTCTAAATGCCACATTTTGAGAGACAAGGGTCTAAAATATATTAACCTCCTATTTTCCTGTTATTCCTAACTAATGTATTTTCCCTATCACCTGACAACAGGGAATTTAAAAACCACGAAAGGTCTCTCTGATTGCAAGAAATCTATAGCCTGAAAAACACAACACACACACACACACACACCCTTAACTTTTGCAGATGACTTTTTCTTCTCCTTGTGGGCTCCTTGTTTTACAACACTACCCCCAGTGGATTGTAATTTTGGAGATAAAGCTTTCAAGAAACTAATGGATTTCTTGCTGTCAGCACTAAGGCAGCTCTGTTTTACAGGGAAATCTGAAAGTATATTGATGGCATTTGTCTTTGCATTTCATAGGAAATAATCACCCTAACACTTGACGATTTTTTACTTCACTCTTGGGAGAACCAGTGTCTGCCCATTAAAGAAGGCAATGTGTGAGTGTTCTTTTCCACCCACCTTCTTTGGCTATTTCAGAAGCTTTTATTAGAATTTTGATGGCCTGTTTGTATTCTTTATTTTCCAGCATTTTGTCTGAGAGTAATCTGTAAGTCCTCAGGAGACTCTCACAGGCCAACAAGTTGAGAAAGCGCCCCTTCTCGTCCTTCCATATCCGCCCCTGCGTCGATTGATGGAATGCTTCATAATGCTCGGCAGCTTCCAGAAGCTGACCTGAAGAACAAAAGCCATTCATAAATATAAACCACAGGCCAGAACATATTTTTCAAAATTTTACGTACATCTTAGCGTTACTATTAAAAGGGGGAAACACTGAGGAATACAGTGAAGGATTTCAAAGGCTAGAGAGGAGTTAAACTGGGGAAAGAGCTACCTATAATTGCACTTCTGGTTCAGCACACATTTTGGACGGACACCTGCAGGAGGGATGTTCTTCAGCTAGTAGGACTTGACTAGGGTTGTGCGTGTAAGTGATCATCATTAACAGCAATTTATGAACTAATGTGTACTTAACATTATGGATGCGAGGCACTGTGCTGTGTGCTTTGCATGCATTTCTTATCTAGTCTCCAAAACAATTCTATGGAGAGGGACCATTAGAATTTGATTACACAGAAGAGAAAACTGAGCTTAGTGAGGTTAAGAATTTTGCTCAAGATTGCTTGTCTAGTGGGTGGTGGATCCAGGATGTTAGATCCAAGACCTGATCTCTCAGCCATGATCATGCACTGCTTTCCCAACTGGTAGCAATATTCTTCATTCGTTTAGATTTCTTTCTTGAGAGAAACACAGCACTGTCAACAGTGCCATGGTCCTCCCTTCAGTTTTTTCAACCAGCCGGGATCACAGGCAAATGAGCCCAGTGTGTACAAGTTGACCTGGGAACTGAACCCTAATTCATACGGCCCCCATATTATATAGTGTTGCACTAACTCTGTGCCACCATAGTTAAGTTAATGTCCTCATTTCAAAAAAATTTTGCCAGAGAGAGACAGACAGATGGAGAAGGGAAGGGAGAGGGAGAAAGTCCCCAATGCAATCCCTTCACTGAACTTAAGATCTGAAGACACAGGTTCCCATTTTGGCTCTGATGTGCATTCGTTGTCATTTAATATTATTCAGCCTTCCAAAAGAATGAAATCTGATCAGCCACAGTGGCACAGCAGTCCCTTCACTTCCATTTTTCCCTCACTTCAGGAGTTTGGTCAGTCACACACATGTACCCAGTGTGTTTTTCAAGCTGTCAGGTCCAGGATTTGAACCTTGGTTAGCCATGTGGGATCCAGGTCCCTTAACCACTAGGCCACATGCCTGGCCCAATTTCCTGAATTCAGATATCTTGAGAAAGGATGCATCTATTAACAAACTTCAAATTCAAAAATTATGGAGCTCTAATTGCTTCTCAAAGTTGACTGAGCTTTTTAAAAAGGCATTTGTATTTTCTGTTAAGCTTTAATAGTTAGAATGTATAGTAACTTAACTGGTTTTCTGGATTACAGCATATAATACAGTCCAAGATATATATTCTCAAAGCCTAGACTTTATATTAGTCTTGAGTCATTTAATTTCCTAAAATATTGGCATACATATTTCTGGAAGAGTAGTTATAGCTCTGTGCTCTGGCTAGTATTTAACTTAACTGCCTTGTGGTAATGTTTGCAAATATCTTATATTGTTAATACTCTTTTATGGTGCTATAGTTACATAACTGGAATTAACTGAAAGAATACTTAATCTAGGGTCTCCAACGAAGTGGTTGAGACAGAATGTAGGTTATAAGCAGACGATCTGTTCTTGCCCCAATTTTATCACTTTTTGTTTAGTCCCAGGCTAACTATTGACCTCTCTTTTTTTTTAAGTTTATTCCTCAGTCAAATAGGATTATAGTATAACTTTTTAAGTTTATTCCTCAGTCAAATAGGATTGAAGTGTAACTATTGGGATGTCGGAAAAGTCATGATGCATTTTTTCTATTTCTGGGCAAAAATGCCTCATGACTTTTCTGACAACTTAATATTTGAGTTACTATTACTGGAATGAATTAATGCATGCTCAACATATTACCAAGTAAGTGCTCAATAATCAAAGCTACTATTATCAGTTGGTATAGTAACAATACTTTTTAAAAAACTGAACAGACCAGAGCAGCCAGTGGCAAGGTGGTAAGGTGGCTGGATCCCAAATGCCTAGCCCATGGTTTCTGTTCCTGACCCAGTAGCTTGAAAAACATGCTGGGGGGACCAGCAGATGGCTTAGTGGTTACGTTGCTGGACTCCCATGGTGGACTGCAGTTTGAGTTCCAGACCCAGCAGCTTAAGGCTCACACCAGGTGCATATGTGTGCATCTCAAAATCCTGGGAGGAGACTGGAGGAGAAGGGATTGCGGCATGACCATCCCTGCTGGCGGGTGATTTCTAATTTTCTGTCTCCCTGTCTCTCTCTGTTTTTCTGATGAGTGCACATGCCCTGTAGCAAAAATCTCTCAAAAAAAAAAAAAAGAAAAGAAAAAGAAAAAGAAAGAGAGAAAGAGAGAAAGAGAGAAAGAGAGAAAGAGAGAAAGAGAGAAAGAGAGAAAGAAAGAAAGAAAGAAAGAAAGAAAGAAAGAAAGAAAGAAAGAAAGAAAGAAAGAAAAAAGAAAGAAGAGAAAGAAGAGAAAGAAAGAAAAGCATGCTGGGCATATGTCCATGCATGCCCAAAATCCTGAGAGAAGGGAGAAAGGGAGGAGGAGGAGTAGTAGCATGATCATTTCCCATGAGACAGGGGCATGTTTCTCATTTTCTCTCTCTGTCTCTCCAGAGACAGTGCACATGTCCTCTGGAAAAATCACACACACACACACACACACACACACACACAAATCTATAGACCAATTGACACATAGCCACTAATCTGTCTTTTCCTTTAAGTATAACTAATTCTTACTGCAAACAAATAAGAATTAGTTAAGTCTTTATAACAATAACATGACTGATTAAATTAACCAGTGCAGGCCACAATAGGCTAAATACATTTCCTCACATGGGTCTCGTTGGAAAGTGCAGGATGCAGCTGCATCTACTGCACATAATTTCTCCTGATTTGTTGTGCTGACTTTGTTATTAAGATTAGTATGAAAGAATGCACACGCAGAAGCCAGCCTAGTTCAGCATACTTTGATACTCCCTCAGTCTCCCAGTCAGCCAGGATCACAAGTGCATATGGGTTTGTCTGGCATGTTCAGATTGACCTGGCATCCAAACCTGGGCCTCCCATGTGGCTCCAGCACTGTGCAGCACCTACTGCCTGCAAACCAACACAGGTGGCCCAATTGAAGTTTTATATATATATGTATATATATATAAAACTTTTTCACTTTAATGTAACTACTTATTTGAATTTTACCACTCTAATCTATCTTGACTTTTAACTGACAATTATTTTCTTACCTCACACAAAAGCAGGCATAGTTTTTCATCTCTCTCCTGTAACACCCCTTACCAGAAACACCTTCCTACAAATACCCATGACCCTCATTTTTTAAAACTAGAATGGAGCATTGACATAAACATGTGTTATGTTTCCTCTGTTAACCATATTTCTGCCTGTAAATATAGCCCTTGATCCCTGGAAAGATGTATAATACGAGAGATTTTTTCCTTCTCTTTTTATCCAGATCCATCTATTCATAAAGTATAGATGCATATTTCTTTCCAACCATGTAAGTAGGGAAGGGTGTACACACACAGGAAACTGTGAGGAAACCAGATAGTTCCAGAGAAAATAGGGACTGTATAAGACATGAAGCTCTGGATAACTCAATTAATTAGTTTTAGATGCAAATGAGGCATAATGATGCAAATAGTAATTGAGAACTGATATTCACGTCTGAAATCTGATCTATATGGAGTAGAAAGGGGAGTTAGAGGAGGGGAGAGGAGTAGGGAAAGGAGAAGTGGAAGAAATAGGGAGAAGGAAGAAGATGGGGAAAGTGTCATCATAGTCCATGGAAGCCAGACTTCCCACTGTGTTACTGAGCCTTGGGTGGCTATTGGACAGATGGTCTAGGTGGAAATGAAGTAGGGATGACTCTTGGGACATTACTTTCAATTGACTACTATGGAGGGTGACCTTGTGATGATTAGAACTAGTCTTTCCATTGAATTTGAATTTTGCTAGTGCTTGGGGGTCTATTATCAGTGTCCACCTTAGTTCATGACTATTGGTCAAGGTTCAGCTCTCACAAGTGCTACTTGTGGCTTCCCACAAGGAAGGAGCCTGAGATGCTTGAATAAAGGAGCAAGCATAGGGACCATCTGTGTCTGAAGGATATTTAGGAAAGTGGAAGGTATTTTCCCCCATACATTATCTTATTAAGCCTTCCAAAAACTGATAAAATAGATATGACTGCCACTTTTTCACTAAGTTGGAAATGGATGCTCACAACAATTAAATTACTAATATATATAAACCAGCTTATAAGTAATGATTAGGATTGAACGCAAGATCACCAAAAGCCCCGACCAGTAGTCCCAAGTCATCAGCTACTAGCCAACAAGCCGAGAGTGTAGAAACTTAGTTTGATCCGTTGACTACTCTCAACACAAATCTCGTATTAAAACCAATACTTGACCCAGCCTGGTGGTGCAGTCAGTAGCAAACTGAACTGCAGTGCTGGAAGCCACACAGCTGACAAGTTCTGATTCCTGGGTGGACTTGCAAACACACCAGGTTGGGACCAGCAGATGGCGTGATGGTTATGTTGCTGGACTACATAGTCAATGGCAGTTCGAGTTCTGATCCCAGTGACTTAAAACCCATGCTGAGCACAAGTGTGCCCAAGATCCTGAGAGGAGAGGGGACTGTGGTGTGACCATCCCCCTGGGGGGTGATTTCTCACTTTATGTTTTTCTATCTCTCTGTCTCTTTAGTGAACACACATGTCCTATAGCAAAAATCTCTTTCTAAAAAAAAAGAAAGGAAAACACACCTCTCTCGTGCACGCATGCCAAGATTGTGGTGTGATGACACCCTGTTGAGATGTTTCTCTCTTTCTCTCTCTCATGCATGTGCACGCACATACTCTCCATGATGAATAAAAATAAAATAAACTTGAAAAAAAAAAACAATGCTTGAGTTACATGATTTCTAGTCTTCCAATTCTGTAATTCTGTGACTCGACTCAGGCCATCACAGGTCATCTCTAACAGAGGCACAGATATCAGCCCCTGACGTGT